TGTATGTATGTATGTATGTATATATGTATATATATATATATACGTATATACATACAAAAATTTTGTATATATATATATTTTTGTACATACACACACACACACATATATCCCCCCCCAGAGAAAAATGGTCTCGCCCAAAGACCGCGCGCAGCATGGGCCGCGTGGGCGAGACCACCGCTCCGCGGGGGGAGACGGCCTGCGGGAACGGCGACGTGACGAGGCGCTGATAAGGAAGGAAGGAAAGGTGGGGGATGGATAGGAAAGGCCGTCCGCGGGACTCGGGCGAAGGAAGGTAGGGCGATCGGGCGTTGCGGCCTACAAGCGGCCTTCGGGACTGCCACTCACCGACTCTCCTGACTCGCAGACATTCTGTGGAAAAGTTCCCAGCCCCGCCCGCCTCGCGCCTCCTTTATAACCGACATCGGGGCTCCGCCCACTGGCCGGACCGCCATTGGTCCTCGTGTTCCGCCCCTCCGCTCCTCTCATTGGCCTGACGTCCAGCTATCTCCCTGACCGGCTTCTCAGCCATTGGCTCCGACGCCTTTTTGGCTCCTCGGCTGAGCTGGCCCGGGCCGTCACGCGTGACGCCAGCGGGCGCTGATTGGGGAAGACGGACTCGGTGACGTCACGACGGGAAGGGTGGAAGGAGGCCGAGCGCCGGCCACCCATTGGCCGGACCCCGCGTCCGTTGTGGCGCTTGCGCAAGGCTCGGCCGGACAATGAGGGCCGACGGGAAGGGGAGGAGGCGGGCCTTCGGGGCGCGGGCACGGGAGCACGTGGCGGGGCCGGTGGCGGCTTCCGGGCCGGGCTTTGTGCAGCGGGGTGCGGGAGGAAGGGGGAAGAGATGCCCTCCGTTAAAGGCGTCAGGCAGGGGCGCGCCCCATTTTCAGAGCCCGCCAAGTTGCATTCCCACGACCCGGAGGGGTGCCCGTGTGTCTTGCCCCGCGCCGCCCCCCCCCCCCCGCAATTCCCGGATCGCGACGTTTCCCCGGGAGGGAAGCACCGGGACACGTAAGCCGCCCTCTACGAAGCCCTGGAGCCTTCCCCTCCAGGCGCAGTTCACCGTGTTTTCCCGCAAATTACTTTCCTTTGGAGCCTCTGACTGTGTGCGTGTGCATACACACACACAGACTGACTGAGTTGGAAGGGACCTTGTAGGTCATCTAGTCCAACACACACACACACAGATATATACACATATTAGATGAAGTTGGAAGGAACCTTGTAGGTCTAGTCTATACCTGGGATTAGAGGAGAAAACTTCCCGACAGGGAAGGACGATTCGCCGGTGGGGAACTCCTTGCCACTGGAAGTTGTGGGTGGTGCTCCGTCCCTGGAGGCTTTTCAGAAGAGACTGGACAGCCCCGTCTGAAAATGGGAGAGGGTTCCCTGCTTGAGCTGGGGAGTCAGACTAGAAGACTTCCGAGGTCCCTTCCCACTGTTATCCTTCCTCTCTCCCCTCCCTTCCTTTCCTCCCTCCCCTCCCTTTCTCCTTCCCTCCCTCCCCCTTCCCTTCCTTTCCCACTCCCTCCCTCCCCCTTCCTCTCCTCCCTCCGTCCCTTGCTTCTTCCCTTCCTTTCTTCCTCCCCTCCCTTCCTTGCTTGCTTCCCTCCTTCCCTCCCCCTTCCTTCCTTCCTTCTCCATCCCTGGGATCTCCCGCCTGAGCTGGGGGGGTCAGACTAGAAGACCCCCTTGCCAGTTCTATTCTGATTGGCTGATCTCTTCCGCTTGCCATCCCGGGGCGTCTCAGACTTCAAAAGGAGGGCCAGGGTGGGTGGGGGGGCTGCCAGGGACACCCTAACCCATCCACCAGTCCACTTTGCTTGAGTGCTTCTCCAAAGAACCATTTTTATTTCCCTACAATGGCAGCCATTGTCTCATAGAAAAAAAAAACAAAAAACACTTTTCAGTTCATCTCCGACTGCGCCCCCTCCCCAGTGTAGAAACCTCACCCCCTCCATACCCACCAAAGCCTCCCCTCCTCCCTCTTTTCCAACACCCACCCCTTTTTTTAGGGGAGGCGGAAGGGGGGGAGAGAGGAAATCAGTACATTATGAACTGAAGCCATGGGGGGGGGCATAGCATGGGAGGAGGGGAGGGAGTGGGGGGCAGGGGGGGTCTCCCATACACCCCCCACCTTTTTTTCTCTCTCCCCGGTCTGCAGTTCGGGACTCTCCACGCTTCGCTCAGATCTGCTGGGAGGGTTGGACTTACCCCCCCACCGCCACAACCCCCCCCCCCCCCCCCCCCCAACCCCTTTAAACCCCCCCCCCCATGCCCCAAATGAAACGGAGAGAAAAGCTGCCCTGCCCCAGGTTGAAATAGGAACAAGAACATAGGAATGAGAAAAAGAAAGGAAAGAGAAAGAAAAGAAAAGAAAGAAAGGAAGGAAGGAAGGAAGGAAAGGAAGGAAGGATAAAGGGAAGAGAAGGAAGGAAAAGGAAGAAAAAGGAAGAGGAAGGAGGGAAGGGAGGGAAGAAAGGAAAGAAAAAGGAAGGAAAGGAGGGAAAGAGGCAGAGGCAGGTCCCCCCCATCCTGCCCCACATAAGTCCAATGGATGCCAACCTCACACAGTTGCCCCTCCCCCCCTTTGTCTCTGGCTGGAAACGTTGGGGAGGTTGGGCCCTGCCCCCCTGCGGACTAAGAGGGGCTCCTGGCCTGCAGCTGCTCCAGGCTCCAAGGACCCGGACGACGGTTTCTGCAGCAGCGTCCCTGGTGGCGGTGGGGGTGGGGTGGGGGGTGGAGAGAGAGGGAGGGAGGGGCGGGGGCGTGGGGGGGCATTTCTTTGTTGCCGCTGGGCTGTTACGCAATGAGTTTGCAATGGCACAGCTCTTTGTACATCTGTCGGCGGAGTTTCGGCATGTCCTGCTGGGTGAAGGTGAAGGGCAGACCCAGGGCCAGGAATTTGGAATACTGGGGAAGACAAGAAAGAAAGAAGGAAAAAGACAAAAAGAAGAGAGAAGAGAAAAAAAGATTGATTGAGGAGGGCCTTTTCGGTCAGAGCCCATCAAGATCAATGACTTTTTTTTGGGGGGGGGTAGCTCAGGGATGCTGGGTGGGCTTTTGGGACAAACGTTTCACGACCCAGCTAGGGAACGTCATTAACTTTAGCCTTCTAGGTGGGGATTATGGGGAGGAGGAGGAGGAAGAGGGAGGAGGGCTGTGAGGTCCTTGGTGCTCTCTGAGCTGGTGGGGGGATATTTCCAGCAGACGTCACATGACCTGACTAGGCAACAGCATCACAGCTAAAAAAAGGCAACGCCTCCCTCCTAGCCCTGATGGCGTTCCCTAGATGGGCCATGAAACGTCCACAAGGAAACAACCAAGTTCAGAGAGCATCAAGGACCCGCCCCCCCGCAGTCCTTTTCTCCCTTCCCCCTCCTCCCCTTCCCCCTCTTCTTCTCCTCCCCCTCTTCTTTACCCCGTCCTCCTCTCCTCCTCCTCCTCTTACCCCTCCTCCTCTTCCGGATGGCCGGAAGCACCCTTTCCAGGAGCAAATGTTATTCTAAGCACAAAGGGTTTTACGAGCTGCCCGTTCCAGAATAAGCTTTTGAACAGGTGGGAAAGGTGCCCCCCCAAAGATTTCTCTCCACACACCCCCAAACCCGCCCCCTCACCCCAAGACCCAGGGCACCTTCTGATCCGGCCACCTCACCTGCAGGACAAAGGCACCACAATCACTGTCGTTGTTTTGTCGGGCAATGTTCTGGAAGGGGGAGGGTGAGAAAAATGAAAGGGGTCAGATCAGGTGGGGAAGAGAGCAGGGGGGTCCCCATCCCCCCCCAGGTTTCCACCCCGCTGGCACCCACTCTCCTGACCCCCTCCTTCCTCACCTGGGCTCCCTCCTGTGTGCCTTACACCTTCCTGCCCGGCCTCCCTCAAGCCAATTCCTGCCTCTGTCTCCCTGAGCGGTCAATTCTGCCCGGCAACAAGAGGGACAGCCGGCATCTTCTATCATTTTATAACTCAAAGTGATCCAGGTAGATTTTTTTTTTAGGGCTGAATTTACACATCCACCTAAACTAAAAGGAGAGCCAGTCTGCCCTTGGAGGTTAAGGCGCTAGCCTAAAATCCCAGCGCATGGGAGTTCTAGTTCCATCTTAGGCACAAAAGCCAGCTGGGTGACTTTGGGCCAATCACCAGGAGACGGGGAGTTCTAGTCCTGCCTTAGGCACAAAAGCCAGCTGGGTGACTTTGGGCCAATCACCAGGAGACAGGGAGTTCTAGTCCTTGGGTGCCTGACACGCCACCCACACTGCACAAGGCCCGAGATCTACTGCGCAGAGGCTGTGGGGTGGGTTCTGCCCTCCCCAAGAGGCGCAAGGAGGGGAGTGCAGGCGAGACACCACAGGCTGCAGCCGAAGAGCCTCCTGGGTGGGTGCCAGAGGGGGGGATCCTCTGGGTTAAATTTGGGACGCCCTGAGACCCTCAGGGAGAGGACCCTGAAGGAGCTGGGTCACTGGATCCCCCCCTTGCCCCCCCTACCCCCAATGCCTGGGGAAGAGACACTCACCATCTGGAAAACCCCTCTCCATCCCTCTCGGAAGTCCAGGCGGTTCTTCTTATCGGCTTCGGCTTGCAGGTACCTGCAGATGTGCTGGGGGGGGGGTGGAGGGAGGAGGAAGAGGAAGGGGAAGGCACATCAAACAGAAGCCCCATTGCTGTCCTAAAACAACTTATTATTATTATTATTATTATTATTACTCTATTCAAGTTAAAATTCCTTCCCCCATCACACAAAAAAAAATCTGATCCATAAAACGATCGAGATATTTTAAAAGGGGCCTTAAAGGAAAAAAAAGGAAAGGAAGGAAGGAAAGAAAGAGAAAAGGAAAGAAAGAAAGAAGGAAGGAAGGAAGGAAGGAAGGAAGGAAGGAAGGAAGGAAGGAA